GCTCCGTCATTAATTTCTGTGATAAGGTGTTTTCTTCACACTGCCTTTTGTTTTTGTTTTTTTTTCTGCAGCTGTGGCAACTACTGACTGAGTAAACAGTGATCGAAAACCTGCTAATTCCTATATCACCAGCAAGTGCTACGCATATTCCTACATGTGGATTTAATTATGCAAAGTTAAACCAAGAACATGAGCACTTAATCCCGTTTCCTTTATGAGATTTTAGCAGGGATGGCAAATGAATTGTAGAAAGCCTTAGAGTGTGGCCTTATAAACATTGTTGCAGAAGCTTGAATTGGTGACAATGTCAGACTGAAAACAGCACCAAAACAGATGGGATGAATCAGTTCTTGGACTAAAACCTTCTACTGATCACCTCAACAAAAAAGCAAATAAACAATTCGTTTGTGACTGCATAAATCTTTCAGTGTATACTTAAGTCCCAGGGAATCAAGCATGTGCTTGAGTGTTTTGTTCAACCCTCTGCAGGTAATCAATAAAGACCATTCCCTCCTGTATGAGCTATGTTGGATCAGCATTTATACGGAAAAGATGTGCAATGATGGAATCAGAACATCCCTGTTGCACCTCCCAATGCAAGTATGAGACCGCTGAATTCTGCATGTGATGGTGACTGTGGAGCTTTGCTGAATTCAATTCTGCGGACAGACACCACAGCCAAATGCTCTCTAGACCTCTGATGATATCCATCACAGAAACAGAAGTGGAAACTTCGAAGCCTGGGTGGTTTAAATCTTTCCCAGTCGTTTCTTTTTTTTTCCAAAGAATATTTTTTCCCCTCTGGGAAAAGAGGAAGGAAAAAAGGAGCATGACACTAATTATGGGATTTTTTGAAAACATCTGGCAGAGGAAGTGTTTATTCTCAAGTAAGTGGGGCATGCTCCTCACATTGGATGAGACTGCCTGTTTTGCTATTTTCTACACTTATTTTCTGGCTGAATTTCACATAGCCAAGCAGAAGCATTGGTTTTGACCTAAAATTAAAGGAAGAAACTAGATGCAAGGGATGTGATTTCATTGCCTGATTTTAATTGCCACAGTTATCTGTTTAAATGAACTGGCGGTCATCCAGTCGTAACTCATACTATGCAGCATGGGTGAACATCCTTTCCTCCTTTCTGTCCAACTAATAATGGAAGCCCACGGTCAATCCCTTTGCCCAACTAACTTTGTCCCCATCCCCTCTCTGAATCCTGAATTCCCACCAGGGAGGAGAAGACCTAGGAGAAGAGGACCATCTTGTGTGCTTCAGACAGAGAGCACTGCATCTCCATTCTCAAACTTCTCAGTGGTGCCTCTGCCCCTACTATCACTTGCGTGTGGGTTGATTGAGGGGTTGGATTGCTTATGATCCGAGTATCTGTGCTTGTACCTGCAGTACCTTGAACATAAGTTCTTAATCTGGCCACCAAAGGTCCAGTGCTATAGTGGAAAAAAGCAGTGTCCTGGCTCACGTGGTGTGCAGGAAAACACACCTGCCGGCCACCAGAATTTAAGATAGGGATGCCCTCTCTGGAGCATAAAAAATCTGATGCTGACAGTGGGAAGGGAGAAGTTAATCTGCATATTAAGAAGGGACTTTCCAGTGCACAGAAACAAGTGGCTTTCTTGAAACCACACCCTGGATCTAGTGAGATCCCCATACCATGCGTTGATTTTACAACCTGGAAGAGAAAGGACACTCTGACAGGAGTCTTGATCCTTTTCTCATAATTGTTGCTTCCAACTCTGCATTATAGTAAGGTTTACAATTTCATTGTTGTCCAGAACCAAATGTTTTGCACTTTTTTTCTTTCCGTAGTATAAACAGAAATCTTATTTGGTCTGCACATTTATTCCCTTCACTGCATCTATCTTTCCATCCTTTCCCTCAAGTCTTGATACCAGATAAGTTGCCAGAGATAAACTGGTACGTCCGCAAGCATCTTGAGTGTTAATATTGGCTCCCATCTTCAACAGAAGCTTCACTGTATCAACCTGGCGTCCTGACACAGCATGCATCAAAGGTGTGCAACCTGGGGAAGAAAGTCAAACGTTCTTTTACAATTTTTGTTTTCTCAAAGCCATAAGTTAGAGATATTTTCTTATTTGCTAATGTTAGCACTGGCAAATTAACAAATCCTTTCTCTGACAACTGTCCAACAGTTGTACTCAGCTATTCGCAGCCAGGAAGTAACTGCTATGCCAGTTGCTGACCACTGATTTTAAAATGAGCATGACTTCATTAGCTAAAGCCTTGCCTCATTAACTCTACTTCTGGAGGGAAAAGTGTTTTTCTGTTGACAATTTCCCAATATGAACTGTTGGCTTTGTACGCCATTTTGGAGGCTGATATTCTTCAGAGTGACTAGTAGCCAGATGGTGCTTGGCTACTTTTCTCAAACCTCAGCTTCATTCTGTCTCTATGTACCCAAAAGACGTATGAAATCAAGCCCTGTCCCATGGAAAGGTGTTCTATCTGTGAGTTGAAGCTTTATGTAGACAATAAATTATTTTAAAGACTGGATTTGCTCTAGAATATTTTCTTTTCTGTTGTAATGAGAAATTTTATATTCTGCAAACAATTTCTGTGCTGGAAAAAAATTGAAATCTACATTCAAAGCTAATACTCAAATTTTGTCATGACGTATGCTATCTTTTAATTGCTTCCTCTTCCTCCCATTCTGTTAACTGCTGAATAACAGCAAGATAAGATATTTTCCTGCAGAATTTGACAATGCAATTTAAAATGACTAAGCTGGGAATAAAACATGACTATTAGAAACTATAAGACTACTAGAAACTTCAGACACAACTGAAGAATAATTATTCTTACTGGATTCAATGAGACTGCTGAGCAAATGCACGCTACTCAACCTGAGGTTATGCAGACTCTGCTATATGTGCAGGATATGAGCCATATGTTTTGTCCTGCAAGACTGGTCTTTAGTTACATTTGTATGTACAACCTAGTAAAGAAGTTTATTCTGGAGGTGATATACTTTGTTTGCTGATCTCCACCCTCTGTCCTTCAGACCTTGTCCCTTTCCCATTAGAGATCTTGACTGAGAGCATTTTAGCTTGATTAAGCATTTTCCCTACTGATCAACAGATATTTAAAAATAACAGCTAGGATATCTGGTTTAAAGTGTAAGAAAAATTGGTAACTTGGTAAAAGTTTGTAAAGATTAGAATAGATAGTGTTTGTACGGACCCTTTACAAGAAATTGCAATTAAAAAATACTTTTGAATAAACAGTCTTCCTTGAGAGAAGCTTCCAGAGGTATGTGACTCTAATTCACTCAGGACATAAATGCATATAAACCCCAGCCAATAGATAGCACTTTATGTTAACATTAAATAGTAATCTGAACACAAAATGAAAACAAGCACAGTTTCACAGAGAAAAATTGATTATTTAGATCATTGTGCATTGTACAACCAACTCCTTGGAAAACAATTACGTGACAAAATCATTCAAACTGTGTCTGTACACATACTTTTTAAGTGCAAAAGACTGGAACCTTCTACTCTAGAGATGTATAGAATGTATATAGCATTTGGCTTTGATGAAAAATATCCTTTTTCCTTCTCTGAAATGACAGTTTCTCAGCATCTCTCCAAAGAAAATAAAATAGATTCATTATAAAGTACTGTCTGATTATAGCAAAACAACTTATCTCTATCCATATTAAAAAAATCTTACAATTACAGTGGGAAAGAAGTATCCAAACTGAGCATTTCCAGTGAATGTTCCAAAGAATAACTCAGATTTCCCATATTATGCTACTAAATATAATCTGCTGAATACAAAAATCAGGATAAAAAATGGAAAATTTAGTTGCCAGCTAAAGCAACAAATCCCTTGAGAATAAGCTCAGTCTTCATTTACCCTCACTGTCGCAGCACTCCAGGATGGAAGGATCTTCTCGAATCACTGCAGTTAGTGTGTTCACATCGCCATTAGCTGCTGCTTGGTAAACCACAGTCAAGTCAATCTCTTCTGCTGCATCACCTGCAGGGGAGGAGTGTGTCTGTGAGTAACTGGAGAGCGAGTGCAAATGATTAACTGTGAAAATAATGACACTTATTTCACTGAGTTTTCATGACTATATAACTCCAGGTGGAACAAAGTGTACCTAAACAGCACTGTGGGTTTTGTTAGTCATCTGAAACTTGGTTTTTATCAGAACTTCTTCCAAATACTGTCAGACACAGACACTGAGAGGACATTAGAAAACTTCTGGAAAGTTTCCACCTCTTATAAGAAATCACGCTAACACTAATGTAATATGACTTGAGAAACAATGAAGTAATAACTGAACTAGCTCATAATATTGCTGGCTACACTTTTATGAGATAGGATGAAATGAGGCCACAGGTGTGTTTTCAGTTTCAGTGCTATCCTTACACCAGTCAAAAGACTGAGGCTTCTCACTTCCCTTCCCTGAGGTGTCCAGGGGAATTCTCTTCTCAGAGAATTTCTGGCAACAATGGTTTGTATTAATAATTCCTGCAAAAAGAAAAGATAGACTATTGCTTGGAACCCAGGAGACGTTTATTTTGTTTGGCAATTACAGTATGAGGTATGATTTAAAGCAGATACCTTGCAGGACCTGTTCCTGAACTCCTCAGATTTTTGTTTCTAAAGAAATTGATGCAATAATTCTCTTTGCTTCTTTGCTTGTAACTTCCTTCCAAACTGGTCATCCCACGCTCCACATGCCTACACCTCTTTTGGCTTCAAGTGGACTATTAATCTGTTAACTCCAGGAGTCAAAAGAGTTTATTTTTTTAGTGCAGGGTCAAGTTTAATGTGATGGTAAAACGCTTCAGGCATGTATTGTTGGTCAGCCACAGCCTCATGTTTAATGTTAAAAATAATTTCTGATCTCCATTAACTCAAAATGATGTACAGCTGCAGTGAGCTGTGCTGTTCACTGTGGCCAAGGGTCAGAGCCTCAGAGTATAACATTTGCCCAGCCACTGCACTACCTGGATGGCAGGGGAAAGTAAACTGACACCTAAATCACACTGGAGAGTTGATAAAAGGGAAGACAGCTTAAGTGACTGGTGACTTATCCTCACTGTTGTGTCTTCTGGAGATAGCATAACTATGTAAGCTGTGCAGAAAAAAGAGAGATGGCTTAAAGAGAATTTGAAAAGTTAGTAAAGTCTTTTTCATAATCAAATAATATGTTATTATTAACACATTGATACAAATTATATTTTAAACAGTCATATATATTCTTGAGTGATAAAAGATCTTTAAAGATAATTTGGAAGTGTTAGATATGATCACGTTGTGATCAGACATTGCAGTTGAACCCACATGAGCTGCATGCTGGGGCTTGCTGTCCAGTGTAATTCCCCGCATGTGACCTTCTCTCCCCGGCATGCAATCATCACTCTTGACTTCAAAACTTGGCTGCCATGGAAACGCAATCAGCTCTCACCCTGGGAAAGGTTAGTCTGTCAAAGCTAAAGGTGTGGTTGTGGGCTTGGGAAAACTAAAAAGCTAATGTTAAATCTGCCTTCACCATTGAAGATTCCCTCTCCATCACTTCTCAATTGAAGAGAACTTTATTTCTTTTCTTTCTTTTAGCTGGTCTTTCGAATTACACATTTGATAAAATCTGTGAATTAAAAATTGATTTTTATTCTGTTGGGGGGCCTATTGCTGAGGGAACTCTTCATTTGGCTCAGAAACTTTGACCTGTGTGCTTGGGAGATCAGGAGGGACTAAGAGTCATTGGCTCTGGAGGGTTATCATCAGTGACTAGTGTATGAAAAAAGCAGTGACTTTACCACACGGTCCATTAATCAGATTTCCTTGTCATGCCAGATCTGCAGACTGCTCTCACAATTAGTGAACTCAGCAAAGACACGTTAACAACAAGCTCAGGTCTGAGCTAGTCCCTTACTCAGAGGGGTGTAGTATGGGCTGAGTGGAAGGCAAGGAGACAAGACAGAGGTTCATCACTTGTGTTGCTCCTCTTGGCCAGTCTCTGGAAGTCCACAGGAGATGCCAGACACAAGCACCGGCACAGCCTCTCTCACAGCTGCATGTGGTGGTTATTATATGGGGATGGTACAGGGGAGGTGCTGCCAGCATGGGGAAAGAAACCATTAGATGTACTGAGACAGACAGTGGATCAAAGGGGCCATCACCTTCTTTCATGCATTCACACGTAATTTTTGTACTTCTGCTGTCTAGCCTTGTAGATACTGTTAAATTTTCCTGCTGTGAGTCAGGAGCAGAGCAACCCAGCCACAAAAGGCAGCTCTCCATCTCCAAGCAGTGCAGTTGCTTATCCGGAGGGCAGGGTGGTGGGAAGGTGAGGTCATGGACGCACATCTGCATGTGGATCCCTGACTCCCTCTGCTCTTTTTCACCTAACTGAAATCAAAACACCTTCTCCCCTGTGCCTCTGCTTGTGCTGGGCTGAATCCGATTTCCCCAGAGCAATTATGCTCCTGCGTGAGGAGAGGAAGCAAAACTCTGGGTGGATGGATGGATGAATGGATGGATGGATGGATGGATGGATGGATGGATGGATGGATAGACGGATGAATGGATGGATGGATGGATGAAGAAGTTCATTATCTCTCGCAGAACACGGGCTCAACTCCTGTTAACAGATGGTGGCATGAAGCCACATCCAAGATTTGCATTTCCCCACCCATGAGTCCTAACTGTCAGAGCAAGGAGAGGCAAGTGGACCAGGCTGTCACCCTGTTGGTGTGGGACACTAGGCCAGGAGGAATTGATGAGCACCCATATTGTGCATCTAACATAAAGTAGACTGACATTCCATTTCTGCAAGTTGACATGATTTCAGGTGGGATGTCTTTAAACATGACCTGTGTGGCTTTGGGTGGGGGGGCGAGGAGGAAGACCGATGCGTGGTCTTCTGATGCTCCACATGACAGGGAGTAGAAAATGCCAGGAGGGGTTGGATGTCATTGATGCTGGATGCACTTGGCTCTAGGTGACACAACATGTCCCACTTCATCTACCTGCAGCTTACCCTGTAAAGGAATGAGGGTTCACGGGCACGAAGCCTGTAGCTGTTTCTTTTTGCAGGCACCTTCCCAGGCAGAAGTGGAATGGTTTGGAGAACGAGTGTTTTGCAGAAGGTGACAGTGAGGTACTGAGCTTTTGTGTCCCATTCTGTGAGCTTACCCTGCTGGGAAGCTCAGCTGTGGCTGGGGCACCAGCACCATGCGGGATAAAGGTATTATGAATGGCCAAATGCCTGACCCTCCATCTTCAAATGCATTAGAGTTATTTCATTTATTATCTTGCCATTCTGTAAATGTCAGTGAGTACTGGTGCCGTTTCAGATATGTTTTACATTTTATTTTAGAAAATTGCTGTGCTGCTGCTGAAAGGAAGCTGCTGGTCAGCTTCGAGAAGGCAGAAGGTCCAACTAAGAGCCTGCATGTGGAGCAAGGGTCAGGAGAAACTGTAGGCTGGCACAACAGCGGCGTAGAAGGGTCTGGAATAATCTCAATGAGGAAAGACCAAATGAAATACAGAGTTGTGACATCTTCTTTTATAGCTAAAATCCTCAGAAAGAACGAAAGGTAAACACCAATCTACCTGAAAAAAGCTGCAGTGTTTTAAAAGCGCGTCATTTCTTTAAGACAAAGTAATTGTCTTTTGTTCAGAAAAGGGGGTATATACAGAAACATGCAGAATGATCACAGGATTCAGAGCAATGAAATTACACTGCCTGTGACATTAATTCTCCTCTGATGCTCCTATGAAGAACACACATTTTACACGATTTGTGATGTCGGCTGATGCGTTGTTTTACAAAGTGCGTGTTAGATGTACGTAAGTACATGCTTTCCCCTGCATTGGATTTTTAAGGTCTAAATAAATTTGCTGCAGCTTAGTGCACATGGTCACAACAATGACTGATTTAGAACTTGCTAAAGAGCTAAGTTTTCAAAACTGAAGACTGGATAACAGGGTAATCTATGTTCATTGTAAAGAAGAAATATTTATGTATATAATTTACTCCCCTCTTTCCTATAAACCCTCTTGTCTCCACCAGTAGCTGAACACTTTATGTGGTTTCCCACAGCTTGTCAGCAGGACACAATACTAGGCAGTTTATTTGAATGATTCTATGATTCTCTGATTCCATGATTTCAGCATATCAGTGTCAAGGGTCAGTGAGAGGTGGATGAGTGCAGTTTTTGGAAATCGTAACTCGCTCTCTAATATTATGGATTTATTTATTGCTTGACAAAGTAATAATCCCTGTGCGTGCCTGGCTGTGAATGTACCAGTCCCGGTCTTTGTCTAGCTTCTCTGTTTGAATGATAAACGTTTGAAGCCAGGTACAGCACACATTCAAATTGCACCAAGCAGCGGTGGGGAGGGGTTTCTGATGTTTCTTGGCTTCTTTAAGTCCCACATTGCTACTGCTGTTATTATTGATAAGTATTATAAGACGGTATGATTTTCAAGCCTGGAATGCTGTTTTTTTTGATCTGCAGATGAGACAGTTTTCTGATGCATGGGGTAGAAAAAGGGTTTGTAGGGAACGTTGAGTTATTTTATTGGACAAACAGATACCGACCTAGTGTGTTTGAAAGGTAGTGTGTATTCTTCCATTGTTATAAATTGCTCCAATGAAAGATACTCCCCTTCTCCTTACCTAAAAAAATTATGCCTGCTTAAATCAGTGATGTGTCAGGACATTTACGTGCTGTTTAGATAAAATCCACAATGAACTGTAAATTTTGAATAAAGATTTCTTTGCATGATAACCAGTGGGTTCAGTGTCCCGTTACTGTGTGTTGTCTGCTCCTGCTCCCCATCTGCCTCCCACACAGCTAGTGGGGAAGGCAAACAGTAAGTCACAAATCATCTAATGAGCCACCAACCCTGCAGTGGTGGTGGAGGGGAGATGATGAATTTATCTGGAGGAAACCTTCTTGCCAGGGAGGTTCTGTGAGTAGAGTGTGACATGGGGCTGGAGATGATGCTGGAGAGGAGTAAGGATGGGTCAGTGTGGAGGGTGGCCTGGCAGGAGGAGGGGCTGCAGATCAGAAGCAAAGAGAGGTACAGGTAGATGTTGCCTCCCAACTCTCCCACTTCTATCCTAGGTGGTTTGGGTCAGTGATCTCCTGCAGAGCTGTCTGCCCCCTTATCCATCTGGAGACTTGACTTCTCCTTCCCTAGCCCTGGTCATACTACAGCCTCGTTCCCGGCACCACATCCATTGGCTCCCTGCAGCCATCCTCATGGCACTGGTTGTGCAGGATCCCCTCTCCCTCCCCAGTCTGAGCACTGCTGGGTTGGCGTGTGGCACAGAGCATACTTGTAGTGCCTGCAGAAGGAGAGTTTGAGAACGGCTATTTGGAGCTGCAGAAACTCAGTCAGCCTCACACCTCTGTCCTCTTGGGGGAAATGCTCCTGACGTCATTTGCATGTGACCTACAAGCATCTGTCTCTATTCCTGCAGTCCAGACACCCCTTCTCTACTGTTGCACTTCCCTCCCTCCTTTATCCTTGCTGGTAGTACTTTTTGTCTCATCATTCAGTTTTGCTTGGTGGCTTCCTTCTTAAAAAAATGTCTCAGCTGGGCTGGTGTAGACCAGTGCTCTCAAGACTTCCTTTAGGCTTTGAGCACTACTGTGGCTGAAAGACAGCCATAAGTCCACTGCTTTACATGTATTCACTTTGGGTTCACCAAAGAAGCGTAGGGAAGCACAAAAGTACAACCTGTGGGACCCGGCCGCCCAAAAGGCACCGCAGCATCTGTCTTGCTCCTGCCCTTTATCTTTTTTTTCTACAGTCAGCACCTTCTTTGTGGGGCCAGCACGGCCATGTCAGTGCTAACACTTTGCAGGTGCGCACTGGAAACTGTGGCCACTGCACACAAATCATTTAGCAAGCTGACTTAAAAAGAAATTTGTTGTGACATGAATAATCCAACAATGACAGCTTCCTGCTTTGGAAATGTAAAAGGAATGCCACAACATTCCTTGTAGTGGATTAAGCCATAAGACAGAATGGCTTGTATGGACAAATAAAGATACGAAATCCAATCATTTAACTTAAAAACAGACAACAAAGAGACATTTGTATTTCCATAGCAACCTTACCATGTAGAGAATCTTCATGTTGGGGCTTTTAAAGATATCTTAAATTCACAATTATGGCAATACTTACCTATACAGTTAAGGTTTGCTGAAGCAAGGTCGGTCACTTGCCAGCATCTAGTCTTTTTAATATGTACAAATTAGTAGACTTACGAAAATCAGCTTTTCTTAAATTTTTACTCCATTCTAAAATGTTTTGTTTCCTAACATTGCAATTGTTTTTACATATATATCCATAAGAGGACCAATATATAATATAAACGATAAGTGTGTACATACATGTCTCAATGCTAAGCGTAAGAGCAATCAGATGCTGTTGCCATTCTGTTGAATTTTTTTTTTAAAAATCACTGTAGCAATAGGCTGAAATATCCATATCTAAAACTGATGGAAATTCCTTCATGTGTAACCAAATCAAATCTCTATGAGACCCGATCTTTTCCAAAAATTCTTATTATTGATTCTGTCAAGTAATCTCAGTTCATTTGCCTGGGAGGCATCGGAGGACCTGAGTATTTTGAAATTAGTAGCAGGTGACTTACCTTTGTGCTGATCAAACACTGATGAGGAACTGAAATCCATTGTGGTCTATCTCATTATTTACAACCAGACCAGACAAATGCCATCTCCAGGGTTTTCAGGGAAGAATCCCATATATCACAGTAAACAATGCAACGATAGCTGTCGCCAATCTTCTTGTCAGAGAATTAAACTCGCTTTACGGCTGCAGGTTGTTGTCAAGGCAAGGACATTATCACTAGCCTGATGGAACGGTATATTCTGTTTGTTACGGACCCTCTTCAAATGACATCCCTGGAAGCTTAACTGAGCTTCTGAAAAACGTCTGATCTTCAGCAAGTGAAGCTGCCTACGAGCAGCTCCGAGAGATGCTGCAGCTCATCCAGCCTCGGCAGC